CTTTCACATAACAAAGACGCTTTATAGAATATCGTCACCATGATTTAAACTAAAGTTGTGTTTTTTGCCTATTGAAAATGAGATCATAGGAGCAAAAATCAACGATAACAATTTTGCGTCGAGTGTATTTATACAAATGATTGGTTTCATAATTTTACCATATTGCTTTTTCAGAATATTTAAACAAACATACATCTTGATTTTTTTATAGTAAAAGCATGAAAACAGCTTCTGGTCAGACTTATGAAGACTTATTTTTTAGACGAGCAGCATTTGTAACGGTTTACTCTTTAGTTTTCCTTTCTGTTAGGAGCTTCTTTCTTCACTACATACCTGTATTAGTTCAAAGATGATACGGACTCGGCGAGCTAAGAAATCACAGCAGAGACAATGACCTTACGTTTGGGGGGTGCATCTTAAAACGCAAAGTGGCAAATCCATGCTTTATTGGCGTATGAATGGTGTTAGGAATCAAAACTAAATTCCAAATAGACATTAACAAGATATGACTCCAAAAATAAAGATTTCAATGATTCTCATCAGTTCCCGTATGTGCCCACAGACAGGAACAGACTCAGGGTTAGGGTTAGGTTAAAAGTGAGTGGAAAGAAAAGACATATTACAAATTAACCACACCTCTCTGTTAGGACATGAATGGGAAATTCTATTGGATTTCCCTCTGTCCTCTTACATTGTGAATCAATATAAGTAGTTACATAAATAGCTACTTATACGTGCCACTGGGCTTCCTATTTGATACAAAAACTGACATTTTAACACAGATTTACCTTTTTTTTTACCATCTATGAGTAGAGTTCAGACAGTTACTAAGGGAAGAGATTGAAACTGCTTTCTCAGGTCTGATTATGTCAGGTACCTACACTCAGATGGTGATTATGCCTATTGTGGAATTTGATCAATTCGGAAGTAAAATCACTGTTTGAAAACCTGAAGTCATGACTTTCTCTCTAACACTAAAACTCTGTGGTCATTGCATTACGTGTCTGAAATCTGATGTTAGTAGCCACCGACTCGCCTCCCACTCCTTGGTTTAAAAGCCTACAGCCTGTTCCACGCCAGGCCATCGGAATAAATAGTGCGGAGAACTCAGAAAAGGCCCACAGAAAGCTGTTCAGAAGCGTGCTCGCTAGGGTCACTCTGAGACATGTCCAGCACAGTTCCAAGGTCACAAACGCTCCAATCATAGTGCTACAAATGAAGCAAGCCCTCATAACATCCGTACTGGTGCTATTGGTTGTTGGTTTAGTTTGATCAGATAAATATGATTTATATTAATGATATGTTTCAAAGTTTCATTTTACAAGATGGATCCAATGCCCTTTAAACGTCTGTTTGTGGTGACAGTGAAATGTGTATACGTGCAAATGGGCTGGACCTCATAATACTCTAATAATCTCCTACGTTCAACAGCAATAGCAGGAGACATCCTCCTTTGTTTTTTGACCGAGCCGCCATTCCTCTGGTTCCACACACTCGACTCTGATCCGTCCCCCCCCCGTGCAGCATTCTTATCGTCCCTGTTTCCACCTTTTTCCGAGCCTAATAAGGAATCCCCTGCTTGAGCTCCGCTCTGGTGCCGGAAACCCGTGGTGCCGCCGGCCTCGCATCTCGCCCCTCTCGCCGCCACGCCGTGGGGGGGGGAGGGAGTCAGGGGCGAGCCGTGGCAAAGACAGATCAATTGCGGGATCTCCGTCACTCTGCCTCCATCCTGTGCTCCATTTTCACCTTTTGTTCTCACTCTCTGAGATCAAGCACACGCTCTGAAATGGGAGAAAAAACCTCACGATAAGGTTTCTGGTGGCCGCGTGGGGCAAAAAAGTTTGAAGTAAAGATGCCAAAAGTGCTCAATGAGGCAACAGGCCTCAGCCCCAGAAGAGGTTGGACCTGGTTAGAGCTGAAACTCTGGAGTGTTTCACACCCTTTTACACATTCCGACACAATACAAATCTCCTTTGTCGCGTTTTACTGCTGTCACACGGCACCCCGGCGTCTTTTGCTTTTGACAGAAGGCGAGACGGCGTAATGACAAGTGACAGGAGATCCAAGCGCTGACTGTTTTTTTTTCCTTTATGTTTGATTTCCTCGCATGATACCGATCTGCAGGACGAGTGTCACACGAAGAACAAACCGTCTGGCCACGAAGAGTGCGGCTTTTTTTTTTTTATATAAAGCCCCCGGAGGGACTTTTTCCTCCAAAATGAATAGATATCTACTTTCAAAAGCCCCACGCTCGGCGACAGACGAGAGATGTGGAGACGGAGGGCTGGGGGTTGGAATCGGCGGGGGTTTGGGAGGTGGGGGGATTTTCTAGGCAGAGGGCAGACGCTATTAAAACTGCGGAGAATGAATTGTTAAATACCTCTATAAAGAAATATAAGACATGGCCCCGTTTTTATGCTGCCTGGGCCGCTCTGCAGGCAGGTGATAAGGGGGTGAGGGCAGGGGGGTTGAAGTGTGTGTGTGTGTGTGTGTGTGTGTGTGTGTGTGTGTGTGTGTGTG